CACTGGGTCAGTACCTGGGGGAGACACTGGGCCAGTACCTGAGGGACACTGGGTCAGTACCTGGGGGGGGCACTGGGTCAGAACCTGGGGAGCACTGGGTCAGAAATTGGGGGACACTGGGTCAGAACCTGGGGGGGACACTGGGTCTGTACCTGGTGGGGCACTGGGTCAGTACCTGGGGGGGCACTGGGTCAGAACCTGGGGGAGCACTGGGTCAGAAATTGGGGGACACTGGGTCAGAACCTGGGGGAGCACTGGGTCAGAACCTGGGGGGACACTGGGTCAGAACCTGGGGGACACTGGGTCAGAACCTGGGGGACACTGGGTCAGAACCTGGGGGTACACTGGATCAGAACCTAGGGGGGACACTGGATCAGAACCTAGGGGGGACACTGGGTAAGTACCCTGTACCTGGGGTAGGAGAACATTGGTGGTTTGGAGGAAGGACTCTGCCCTCCAGTGTGGAACGGTAGGCAGAGTGGGACGAGGAAGGCCCCTCACCCCTGCCCCACACCCGGGGTCCCAGGCAGTGTCCTCAGCTGCACCCCCTCACCCGTGCCCCACACCCGGGGTGCTCAGGTGGTGTGTCTGACTTGCACCTCTCACTCCCCGTGACCCTGCTCTCGTGCAGCCCCACCTGGCGGTCGGCAGCAATGACTACTACATCTCCGTGTACTCGGTGGAGAGGCGTGTCAGATAGCGGCCACAGCTGGTCCCTGCTGGCGCAGCGTCCTGTACATAGAGGAGGAGCCGGAGCCGCACCGCGACCTGGTCCTGACAGCTGCTGGCGGGAGGTGGCGCGCACTCCAGCCCATGGTCACATCTGGAAGGTCTGAGGAGGAGGTCCTGGCCTCTCGGCTGAGGACACGGGTCCCGCACGGAGGGTCCTCCTGCATCGTTCGGAGGCTCCAGGGGCAGCACGGCCTGTTGCTCTGTCGTGGAGCCAGCGGCGGTGGGCACCCAGGGCCCCCTGCACCAGGCCCCTCTGGCGGAGACCCAGCGAGTGAGCGAGGAGGAGGGGCCCCGGGAGCCCCCAAGCGGGTGGAGAGAGGTCAGGATGAGGAGAGCAGGGGAGATGGAAATGCCACCTCAGGGCGTGTGCCCGAGCACGGGGAGGGCAGTGAGGACGCAGGCCCCCTCAGAGACCCTGCCGACTTGTTCCCATCCCGCCCCACTTGGCACATCAGCACAAGACATACGGACAGGCCTGTGGTCACTCAGGCACCACTTTGCCCGTGGCTAGCACAATGCCCTGCCCTGGCACACATGGGACATGTGTGTGTGGGGACCACCGCCCCTCAACTGCACTCACACGTGTGCATGTGTACAGGCATCCTGGTTTCCCATCCTACACATATGCACATGTGTGGGCACCACGGCCCCCACCCAGACATGCACACACATGCAGATAGCAAGGTGCACAAGACCCCAGAGTCACGCCAGCCCCCACCCCCGTCCCCACGCTGCAGAGGAAACCCACAGTGCACGTTCCGGCAGAGCTCCAGGTGGCCCCGGCAATTGCCTGTGGGGGCGTGGTCAGGGAGTCCACAGGCTGAACACAGGTGTGTGCGTGTGTGTGTGAGGAAGGAGGTTGTGCATGTGTGTGAGGGCATCCATGCAGGTGCATGAAAGTGCACGTTTGTGCATGTTCATGTGACTAGACGTGTGTTTATGCCATGTCTGCGTGTACATGTGTGGTGTGAGTCTGAGCCTGTACGTGTGTGCACACGTGTGGTGGCCGTGAACATGCACGGGTGTGCAGTGTGTGTATGCCGGGGTCCGTTGGGGACACATGTGTTGTGCCTGAGTGTGTCAGAGATGTGAGCACGTGTGCACAGTGCATGCATGTACAAGCTTATGGTGGCACCTGTGCGTGTGCACACCTGTGTGGTTGTGTGCATGAGTGTGGGCATGTGGTGTGTGTGTAAATGTGTGTGAGCACACGTGCTCTGTGTGTGTATGTGTGTGTGCACATGTAGTGTGCTCTCTGCGTGCGTGGGTGTGGACACGTGTGCTCTGTGTGTGTGCGTGGGTGTGCGCACACGTGATGTGCTCTGTGTGGGTGGGTATGTGGACACACATGTGCTCTGTGTGCGTGCGTGGGTGTGGACATGTGTGCTCTGTGCGTGCATGGGTGTGGACACACGTGATGTGCTCTGTGTGTAGGTGTGCACACACGTGATGTGCTCTGTGTGGATGGGTATGTGGACACATGTGCTCTGTGTGCGTGCGTGGGTGTGGACATGTGTGCTCTGTGCGTGCATGGGTGTGGACACACGTGATGTGCTCTGTGTGTGGGTGTGCACATACGTGATGTGCTCTGTGTGGATGGGTATGTGGACACACATGTGCTCTGTGTGCGTGCGTGGGTGTGAGCACACAGGATGTGCTCTGTATGGGTGGGTATGTGGACACGTGGTGTGCTCTGTATGTGTGTGGACACACATAGTGTGCTCTGCGTGTGTACACACGTGGTGTGCTGGGTGTTTGTACTCACATATGTGCACGCACATGGGAGCCTCGTGGACTCTCCCCAGGAGGGACCGGCAGCTGGCCGAGCAGCTGCTGACCGACAGTGCTTTGAAAACACAACCCTGATGATGGTCCTTTGAAAAACGTTTCTCCATTTTCCTTTGGGAATCAACGATTGTTCAGACGGTGGTGGGGGCGGTTCCACTCTGCCAGCAAGTGGGGTTCCCAGCCATGGTCACCCCAGGAAGGCGTGCTCCCTGTTGCACAGCTGCTGCTCTGCCCTCTGGGGGGTGCTGGGCCCTGTGGGCCGTGCTGGGTGCTGAGGCCTGAGTGTGTTTCTGGGGGCTGAGCCTCGAGCGGTCAGGGCGGCTGGCAGTCTCTGGCCCAGGATTCCGGAAGGGCCGTCAGCACAGAGGCCAGCTGTTGGCATGTGAGGTCCTCCTGGGAGCTCTGCTCCGCCCACGTTGCTGGCCCGCCACTCGCCGACTCACAGATCTTAACCTCATGTGCATCTATCAGTCAAAGATCACCCTGTATTCAGCAGGTGGCTTGCGGGGAGCCCCCACTGTCTTTCCCTCCGCTGCCCATTGCCCCACTGGGCCACGCCATCCGCTCCAGAGCCCACAGGGACCGCCTTCTGGGCACACATCTGTGCCCAAGGGCGCTCACGGGGCAGATGCGAAAACTCAATCATGGAGCGCACCTACTGAAGGCTCGCGTGTCACTATTTATTTTACCGAAGGGCAACTGAGAGACTGGACGCACGGCTCTGGGCAGCGCGCCCGCAACAGCTGTCAATAAACAGGCGTAAAGACTACCGGACTGTGGCTCTGTCTCTTGGGAAGGATATGTCCCCCGCCCTGGCTGCTGGCCTCTCAGCCACCATGATCTGTCCTCAGGAGCCACAGCTCAGTGGTGGCCAGTCGCATCAGGGCTGCAGGTGTCAGGGACCCATGGACGAGGGGGTGGAGTGTGTCCTTTTCCCTGCATGTGGCCAGGACCACCGCAGAGCACCACAGCGGTCCTCCCAGACCAGAGTGGGGGCCATCTGTCTGAGCGAACCCCGTCGCTCAGCCACTGACCGGTGTGGGCCAGCCAGGCCTTAGTGCTCGAGGTGGACACAGCCCTCTAGGACCCTGGCAGTGTGGGGTAGGTGCTCAGTAGTGGTACCAGGCAGTGCTGCAGCCCAGGCATCATCTCAGTGGCCTTCTGGCCCCTCATAGTCCTGGGACAGCTTGGCCACTAGGCAGGGAGTGTGGCTCAGGTGAACAAGGCAGACCCGTGCACTGCAGCCAAGCCATGCGCCAAGCCCCACCACGCTGAGAGGATGGCCACCGGCCAGGCAAGGGCTCGGTCACCATTAGTGACATGCCGCCCAGGGCATGTGCTGCCCCTCTGGTTCCACATGGCTCAGTGTCCTGTCCTTCTGTCCCTGGGCAGCTCAGGCACACAGCACGGGGCACGTGCTCATGCCACATCCCACTTGCTCCCCACCCTCCCCACACACAGGGCCACTGGACTCGAGGTGGCAACCCTGATCAGCAGTGCAGCCCCCCCTGGTGGCCCCATGGGAGAAAGGCCCAGTGTCCTATCCCAGAAAGATTATCGCAGCGCTTGGCGTGCCATGGGCCAGGCCCAGCGCTCCCAGCCTTGTGGTTGCATCTTGTGGCTCCATGAAGTGACCCTGGATGGCCATCAGGTCGAGGGCAGTGAGCAGTTCCCGCCCTGGTCACAGATGCAGGATCAGGAGCTGCACTTTCTGTGTTCTGGCTGTCTGCTAGGAGGGGAAGGGTTTGGGGAGGGACGTGGCCACATCCCAGGTCCTTCCAGGCTCTATAGGGGCTAGAGTCCCTGAGGTCTCATCACTGTCACCACCAGGGGACCTGCCTTTGCAAGGGCTGGCTGTGGTGGAAACAGGAAATTCTCTACAGTGTCCAGCGTGGGAGCTCTGGGTAGAAGGAGTCAGCTTTTCTGTCACCAGGGTCTGGGAGGTGGGCCCAGACTTCACTGTCCCTGGACTGAAGTGGCCTGGCCTTTCCCTGTACCTGGACGCCTGGCTAGGGCACAAGACCACCAGTGTCTGGTGCCAGGTCCATGTAGTCCACTCTCCTGCACCGCTGCTGGCTCAGTGTACCCTGTCCCCCTCCCTCTGCAGACCCCTTAAGGGGCAGGTCCTGCCCTGCTCTGCCTGGGATCAAAGGGCACGGTGGTCAGTGGGGAACAGGCCCCCCGCATAACTGTGGAGCTGGGTGGATTGTGCCCTGACTGCAACCTTGGCAGACGGGCACTCATGCTGCCTCATCGGCCCCCAACTTGGTTACAACCTCACTACCTTCTCCCAAAGGACAGAGGGTGGGTGACCCCTGGAGGTCTAGGGGCTACAAATCCTTGGGGTCTTGGCACAGGCTGGGGCAGCCTGGCCAAGGTCAGGATGGAGTCCAGGCAAGGCTGGCAGTCATGGTCTCTGGGATAGGCAGTGCCACCCCCTTCTCCGCAGCATCCTCTGGTAGGCCACCGTCGGCCTCTGATGCCTCCTGGCCACCCCACAGCGAGGGTGGGTGAGGGGCTTCATGGGGCTGGCAGATGGGCGGGGGAGGGTCTCTATACGAGGTATGGCTGCAGAGTAGTGAGGGCGACCTGGAGGAGGGGTAATGGCTTCTGGCTGTCTTTACTTGGGGAGGGGGGTTATATCTCTAGAAGTCAAATGGAGCAGAAGAGAGTGCCTCTGCCTTCCCCTACAGAGGAACATCTCCCCGACTTAGGGCCCTAGCCCCATGGCGCTGAGGAGACACATGGGCCAGCCTCTGGAGGTGCCGGGCCATGTTCTTCTCTGGGATGTGGGCCTGGGGCAGAGCAGGTGCCCGGCAGTGCCTCCTGACTGTCCCTTACTCTCCCCTGCTGACCTCCATGGTCTCTGATGTCCCCCACAGCCCTTGTTGTCCCTCACTCCTTTCTCCCATGTCCCTCTGCTTTGATCTGTCCATCACTGTCCCTCACTCCTGTCCCCCACTCAGCCCCTCCCCTCTGCTCATGCCATCGTCACCACGTCCCCCACACGGCCTACTTGGCATTAGGGACTACATGTGTCTTCTCCCTGAAGAGTTGGACAGGTCCCTGAGCGGTGGGACATGAAAACGGGGATGAACAGTGGTGACTGCTGAGAAGCCGAGCTCTGGGAAGACCCCTGCTCCACACAGGGCCTCCCCTCCCAGCTGACCTGCCAGAGGCACCTGCTGTCCTGGGCCCTGCCCTCCCCACGGCTGTGGTGAAGAACCTACACGAGGGTCAGGGACCCACGGACACCAGGAGCTGCCCACTGCCCACAGAAGGGACAGCTCTGCTCAGTGGAACAGGGCCGTGGGTAACCACGCTGTTAGTGTCCAGCAGTGGTCCTGCAGCGCCACCGTGTGACCGGCGAGCAGCGCTGCCTCCACCGGGCAGTAACCCCCAAGGCCACGTTCCCTTCTCCCAAAGGCGTGTCTGCACGGAGCGGGACTTTTAACTCTCCACCTCGGCTCCCAGGGCCTCTCGAGGGTCACCAGCGACTCCCCTTCTCCCCTCCAAGTCCCCTCCTGGCTGCTCAGAGGCTTTGGGGGACCCAGCTTCTCTCAGAGCAGCCTCCCTCAGGTTGGCTCCACTGACAGGTCCCCATGGATCCATGTGACCACATCCTGGGGCGGCCCTTAGCCATCCAAAGCCAAGTGGGTGGGCTCCACTCCTCACCGCCTGTGTCTTCAGCACCTGCGTTGTCTGTGACCCGTCAATTCCAGCAACGGGCCTTGATTTTTATTTATTTATTTATTTTATTCTAGAGTGTCCCGTGTAGGAGAGATCCTCCGTCATTCCAGAATGTTCCTTGGGAGAGCCTCCCTTCTTCCAAATCCTCCTTGGATTCTAAAATGCTCCTTCGGCTCCTCATTTCAGAAGGTTCCATGGAGAGAAAGCTCCTTCTGTATTCCAGAATGTTCCTTAGGGTTCCTCTCTTAATCCAGAAGGTTGTTTGGCTCCTTCCTTATTCTAGAATGTTCTTTGAACTCTTCATTCCAGAATATTCCTTGGGTTCTCCTTTACTCCAGAATGTTCTTCAGCCTTTTCACTCATTCTCTGCCCCTGTCCACAGGAGCAGGTAATTTCCCACTGCTGCATCTGTGCACCCCACCAGCCCCCCAGTACCACCTCGGCTGCCCCGCCCACATCAGCTCCTGCTGACTCCCTCACAACCAACAGCGCCAGCATCACAAACAAACCTGGTGGCCGGGACGGACAGCAGAGCAGGTGATGTGGGTACGCGGACTGGCGTCCTCCTGGTGGGCATCTGACCTCTGTTCTTGCTGGAAGGGAGATCCCACAGCGGGCTGGCCAACATGCCAGCGATTCCTCTTGTGGACATGAGGACTCACAGGCTTAGGGGGCCAGGGACAGTGGTGTGAACTGGGAGCTCCAAAGGACCAACTCCCCTTCAGAAAATTAGACTCCTGGAAATCTAAGATCTGAGGGTAGTGTGGGTGCCGCCCCAAAACTAGGCCCATAGATTTCTCGGGGGACCCAGGAGTGGCTGAGGCCAAAGGCAGTGAGAAGAAAAGGGGTGACTGAAGAGGAGAGTGGACTACAAAGAGTAACCCCAACAGATTCTTCTGCAGAAGGTGGCTGTTCTGTGCTTCCTTGTCAGGTGTCTCTAGCAGTAAAAAGGTGGACAACCTGCGAAAGTTTCAGGATCAACAAAAAAGGGGGAGACTCACGATGGGGTGACAGTGACCGTGATCACAGGCTCACGGCAGCACTGACAGACGGCGCAGGACTCGACAGGCTCCCCATTACATACCTGAGGCCACTGTGAGCCAACGTCCACCTGGCCACACTCAGCAACAAACGTGAAACTGACGTGGTGCACAGAGATTCGGCTGGCCATTTCTCACGGAGGACACTTCACCCTGTTCATGAAAGAGGCTGCACCCAGGGACCCAACTGCTCCATTCAACCCAAACCAGAAGCTACACGGCACCAGAAGGGAGGCAGAGCTCAGCTAACACGGTGCTGCCTGCAGGGGGGCGGGCAGGAGCCCCTGTGTAGGTGGGAAGACTGTGCCCCCTCCTCCAAGACAGACGGGTTTGTTGTTGAGAGGCTCATGGCACAGTCAGTACTATTTACCAACACAATTCAAATGCATCAGCCCTTCGGTCTTCCTGGCCAGCTTTCACACGCATATGAAGAACTGAAAAGACCCTAGCCTGGGTCATGCAAAGCCTAGTCTTCAAACTGACATTGCTTTAGAGTCTTTTAAAGAGGTCTTTTATAGCAGGTAGTGCAATTCTGGAAATGGGCATACCAACTATAATATGTATGATTGTTAATATAAAGGGAATATTGTCGTCTGTTCTTTTGTGCTGTCGAGTCACCTGTGACCCTACGTCCATAGCCCTGAACCCTGCTCTATCCTGAGCCAACCTTACAGTCTCCGACACACCTGCCCCCGTTACCCCAGTCACAGAATCAATCCATCTCATCCGGGGTCTCCCTCTCCTGTGCTGTCCCTCCACCTCCCCAGCATGATGTCCCCTCCAAGGACTGGTCCCTCCTTGCAACATGTCCAAAGTATGTCAGACGAAGCCTCAGAATCCTTGACTCCAAGGAGCAGCCTGGCTTCACCCTTTCCAAGACAGACCTGTTTGTTCTAGCAGTCCATGGAATATTCAAAAGGAATATTCTGTGTTCAATATAGGAAGTCTTGGTGCCTAGGGCTCTGGTGGCCTAGTGGTAAGAAGCTGCGCTGCAATTCCAAAGATACACAGTTCGAATCCACCAGCTGCTTTGTGGGCAGTCTCCTCCCCGTGGCATTTACCGCCTCTGAAAACCCCCTGAAAGGCGAGCTATGGGCCAGTTCAGACTGGACAGCGAACAGCAGCAGCAGCAGCAACAGCAAACCTGGAAGGCCAGGCCCCGCCCCCC